ATAGAAGCTAAAAACCACGAATTTAATTTTGCAATTAAATTAAAAGCATTTGCAAAATTAAATTCGGGGTTTTTAGCTTCTATTTTTGAAACATAGTTGGAACTGTGTAGCGAAAAAAACCGTATTTTAAATCAATTAATTTATAATATTAATGCTCTGTAAATTTACATTGAGCACTATTTTGTAAAAATAAAAATATATATAAGAACACCGGATTTTATATCTTACTGTTCTTTCTTTTTATATATATATATAGCTAATATTAGTGGTAAATATACACATACATATGCAAAATATATAAATATATATACATAGGTGCATACACATGTATATTTTTTGAATAAAAAATTCCAAGAGGATAGAATCCAAGTAGAACTCAATATCCAGGACAGAGTAAGGATATAATAAAAAGGCTTAAACACTAATACTCCATGGTTATAATTTATTTCATTGGAATCGTAAATACGATCCAATTCATCAGACCTACAAATTCAAAAAGAAAACAGAAAAAACAACTCCGGTAATAAAAAATAGAATTTAGAGAGAGTGTTAGTATATAGAGTTATATACCTACGAATGTTAGAGCTAAAAAGAGGGGTTACAGACAGAGAAGGAAATATATATATATATATATATATATATATATATATATATATATATATATATATATATATATATATATATATACAAAATAATACAACTGTGCGATTCATGGTTTTCCCATTTTCACATTAAATACAAAAGATTTATGAACTGTTCAATACAGGTTTTTTTTTTTTTTTTTAGGGGTTATGTTCATTGGATCAACGCTACATTTTAAATGAATCAAAGTTCGAGATTATTATATTAGGGTTAATTAATGGCTGACCGTCTACTTTTTTATAGCTTATGCAGACTCTTGCTCAGGCACATTTGTTTTGGTTCAACACCCAGAGAACCCAATATATATATATATATATATATATATATATATATAAATTTAAAAAGGCCGAAGAACTTGGTAGACCAAATGGGTAATTCCAATTTTAGGATGAAATTGAGAAGCTCAATGTGAATACAGAGCTAATATTTGTTTGAATTGTTACCTGATGATCCGGAGTCCTTTAAAAAGGATTTTGGTGAAATAAATTATTGTAATGGTACCTTAAAGTGGTCTGTTTTTCATTATATATATATATATATATATATATATATAATAGCTGGCCACTCGTATTCGAGGATACACGTCTAATAGGGCGGCTAGCGAATCCCTATTACAGAGCTCACCTGTGGTATGTACTGCAACTATGCTGATCATTGCTTACTTAAAACTTTCTGGGGGAGAGCGTGTTGTCTAACGTCATCAGCAATCTGAACAAGGCCTGCATACTCAAACGCTCGGTCACTATGACTTGTGACTTCGTGCTAGAAAAATTATCGACGGCCCCAAGTATTCCGTCTACCCAATTCCACTCACAAGGCTTGGGTTAACTCGTGGTATGGCTTTCAGGTACTTCCCAAAGGTGCCGCACGCTGGGAGCGACACCACCTGTCCGATAACATCAGGAAGTATCCTTCCTGATTATTCAACTTCGGTTTGATAAATCAACCGGGGTGAGAACGTTCTAACCATTCGATCATGTGAAAAGTGTATATCAATATAAATAAATATATATATGTATAATTATTTATATATTATATGCGCGGTACTTATTAGAAAGCGCTCAATATCAGAGATAGAGCTAACATATCTGACGATCGCTAAAGCGTGAAACCCAGGATCACAAACTCACATCTATCCAACCAAATATATATATATATAATTATCCGGGCATTATTTGAATCTTGTTTAAGCTTCCTTGGAAGAGGGGGTGTTTTTACTGGTTTTATCTCGTCTAGTCTGGTAGCGAGATGTTTTTTTTTCTTTTTTGAATACAGAGGTAAAAGAGCATCAACAAAGAGAACGTTTAATTTAACTATTATTTTATTAACTACATCTGTTGAGTTGTTATGAACACTGTCGTGTCTGTTCATGGCAAGAAGATGCGAACAATCATTCGGATCATGCAGGATAATGTGTGTTATACGGATTTCATTTGACGATTTACCGTGTCGCGCATGAATACCTGACAGAACCGATTAACGCTCCCCGTTTACATCGTAATGGTCGGTCATGGGTTCTTAGTGATCGGGACTAGAAGCGTTTCGCTAGAACTCCATGTGATAACAATCGACGTTCTCTAAAATCTCATCTTTTTTTTAGTAAAATCACCTGTACAAGATCCAAACAAAGGCTTTAAAAAGGAGGGTCAAATTAAATCATTTATATGAATAATTTGGAATATAACGGTTAACTCTTGAACAGTTTAAGATAGTGATCGGGGAAACATCCTCTCTGCGAGTCCGCTGAGCTGTGGTTCGCGAGAAGAAGCTGTACGCGTATAATTGTCGCCGATGTAAATAAGGAGGGAATGTAGACAATTTGAATTTCGTGTAAGATAACATGGCGGAACCTAGCCTAAACAGTCTAACTCTCTGCCTTCGGGCGGAGACGAACCCATGAAATCCGCCGAAAATATTTCTTAATCATATAAAACTTTCCCTGAAACCCATTTATGAAATTTTCAAAGAGGGAAAATATTTTTAACCGAGCCTAGGGGCTCGGAGATCCCTAATACGTGCAAACCCGGCCTTGTGCCAATGTAACCCTCGTGGGGGATAGCTAAATTTTACCCTAAAAATGAAATTCAGGACTGATGGAATATTCATTAAATGTACTTCGTACCGAGAAATTTCCATGGAACTAGCAACATTTTTAAGCAATGAGACACTCACCGCATCCCAGAGGTTGGAGGATAGAAAATAATTCCTCACTCACAAGGACTCAGAGATGCTTTTGAACTCTATCAAGTCTGACATGTCTCGCTCAATTATCACAACTGTACTCGATTTTCGTCCTGATCCGGCTTTTATAACTGTAGAGGCTAGCATTAGGAGTCATTTTACAAAAAAACGATCATTTTACCGACATCTTTAGCGATGGATCGTGTGTATGAGTCCCACTTGAGGTATAATAACTTTGAGGCCCAATATACTCTCAAGATACGGTGCTCCCTCGACAGAACATCCGGTCATTGTCACTGGCGGTAGCTCTTGATACGATCGGAGGTGATAGAATGTAACTAGTTTGATTTTCGAGGCATTGAATGTAACCGGCCAGTTTTTCCTCACTCGGAAGCTAATACCTGGTCGGAAGAGAGGTCAGCTGCCAATCTAAGAGTTTTAGAGGTGCGTCCATATATGGTTGTATCATCGACATAAATGTTTACAAATGATCTGAGTATATCCTTAGGCAGATCATTTATGTACATTAGAAAGAGGCTTGGTTCGAGAATTGACCTCTGGTGGACGCCTACGTTGTTTGCCAGAAGACTAGCCCTTGACTACCTTAAGGTATCTACCTGGTAGGAAGGATTTTATAATTGAGAATCTAAATTCAATGGAGGAGATGCCAGACGTGTCTCTACCAATAAGTTCAACTCTATATTTATACGCTCTTTGTTCAAACAATTCTTCCTCTTTCTCCCAGATTTAGCTTCAGTTGCTTCAAATGAGCTTGACGGAAGCGTGAAAAAAGATGTAAAAGACAAATCAGTGCCATTGTAAAAAAAATGGAAATCAATTATCAGACTTATATTAGGTTGGTGCAAAAAGAATGACGTAATAATGTCGTTTTTTGACGTATTTTTTTAACGTCAAAAAACGACATTCTTACGTCATTTTTTTGCACCAACCTAATACTTTGAGAAACTTTTGCAAATAATTACAAATATTTGTGCTGCAGTAATCAAAGCTAAATGAGGATATTTTGAGAACAGAGCAAAATTTTATCATGTAATGCTTTTTTTGTCGTAATAAAATTTCTGACACAAAATCATGTCACACATTTTTTTTTAATCATATATTAGGTTGGTGCAAAATAATGATAATAATGTCGTTTTTTGGACGTATTTTTTGGGCGTCAAAAAACGACATTATTACGTTGTTATTTTTTTACCAACCTAATATAATAAATTTCTTATTTAACGAACAAAATAACTACTTTTGGGGCCAATTTTAAAAAAAATTACCTGGTATGGACTCAAACTTTTGAACAGTAGTATATATATATATATATATATCGAGCTACTTAATAAAATCCAAAGGGTCTGCAATAAATCGATCTTGACCTGGCATTTCGGCTTCAGTCAATTTCTCTTCGATCTGAGATGGTGTCCCACTGCTAATGGTTCTTCTAGACTTTCTTCCGGCAGTGCATGAATTTAAGCGTACTACCAGTAACTAAGCAACTAAGAGTCATCGTTTTACTGGTGGACTAGCGAGACGCAACCAATACATTCTCTTCTAATAGTTTCATTCCTTGCCAACTACAATCTTCTAAAAATTAAATACAACGTCAACCTCTATCTTCTGTCTGCTTGAAATATATTCTTTTGTTGTCCTTTCTCCTCACTAAAGTATTCTCCTTCTCTTTCACTTCCACTAGCCCGTTGCGTTCTGTTGGCATTGTCGCCTCGCTTGGGGTGAAATGATTAAAAAAGATGTCATTATTATTTGAAGCAATAAATATTTTATACAAGGTGTCCATAAAGTTCGTGTGCACATTAGACATTTTATAACTTTATTTGTGTTTGCGATAGAAATAATTTGTAAAAAAGGATTAGAAAGAAGTAAATCTATATTTTTAAAGATTTTATTGAAATTGTATTTAAGTTTCCACATGTCCTCCATCATTAGCAATACAAAGGGTAAAACAATTTTGCAGTTCACGGAAAACATTTGCCAACTGATTTACAATAATGCCTGAAATCTTATTAGTTATTTTAGCTATACTTAAAACTAGGTATATTAAACTTTATAACATTTTTTACAGATCATTTCTATCACAAATACAAATAAAGTTATAATTTTTTAAAGTGCACACAAACTTTATGGACACCTTGTATTATTATCATATCATATTAAAACACTGGTTCTCGTTCAATTGCCGAAGTTAAGCTACACCGAGCCTGGTCAGTATCTAGATAGGTGACCGCTTGAGAATATCAGGTGCTGTAAGCTTGAATCTTCTGGAGGTTTAATGGATAACAGCTCGGAATTGGAAATCAGCGATCCGAGCTCCAATTCCAGTCGGGTTCGTGTCATTCACGTATGCAGAAATATCCTTGGACAACCCACATCTTCCTTCCCCAAATATAGGTTAATTAGTAACAGGAGATCATTATTATCTACAAAAAGGTCTTACAATCGAAAATATATACTATGGCTTTAAATAACCTTCAAATTGTTGATAAAGCATCAAAAATAAATCAATCAATTCATCTGGTATTGATGACAAGAAAAAATGGTTGATAAGCCGTAAAAACAAATCATTTAATGTATATTATATTTATTACGTAATTTATATTATTAATTCTTTATATGTCATGTCTCGTCAAAACGTGGGTGATCATAGCTCTCCACATCTTCCTATATTGTACTATAGCTTTCCTTTATTGTTCTCTTATCTATTTCCACAAGGTTGTTAGGTAGATATTTCGCCGTCTCCCTCTATCCATCTTGCCTTACGTATATCTTGTGTGTGTCAAATTCTCTAATCTCTCTTTTTTCATGACATGACCTAGCCAATCAACTGTCTCTTTCTGATTCTAAGTATGTTTTTGTGTCCCCTTTCTATAATGTTTCTTTATTGCCCACCTGTCATATCCATGGTATTCTCATCATCTTTCTGTAGAACCCGATCTCTGTTGCTCATATTTCATTTTCATCTGTGAGCAATAGTCATATTTCAGAGCAGTGCAGCACTATTTTATTTGTTTCTAGCGAAATTTTCCTGTTTCTTAATACTTTGCTTAGCTTTTGGAAGGCATGCGTCTGTTAATATCATATTAGCATACTGTTATGTACATGTATATATTAGTTGTTATATAATTAAATTATATTATTTTCCCTATAATAAGCAACTGATTTTCATGGCTTTTTTGCCGACTTTCCACAAAAGTCGACAATAACCTTTGATTCGTGCAACAAGGGTGCATCGTCTATCGAGAGAGGTTTTAAGTGCATACCGGTTGTGCTTGACACGCACCTAGGCGCCTTTGTTGTAAAAAAAAATCTTTGAAATATTTGTCAGCTAGAAACTTGATCAAGCGCGCTCAGCTGAGCACTTACTTCCACGCATGCGCTAACGAAACAAAGGGTATTGATTATGGATGGAATAATGGGGGGGCAGAGGAAGAAGGAAGGATTTTGTGTAAAAAGCGGATGGAAAGACAAAAAGTGAATAAATAATGAAAGGATGGTTGGATGGTAAAGTGAAAAGAAAGAAAGAAAGAAAGAAAGAAAGAAAGAAAGAAAGAAAGAAAGAAAGAAAGCGAAGAAGAGTGAAGAAAGAAAGAAAGAAAGAAAGAGAATGAAGAAAGAAAGAAAGAAAGAAAAGAAAAAGAAAGAAAGAAAGAAAGAAAGAAAGAAAAGAAAAAAAGAAAGAAAGAGTGAAGAAAGAAAAAGAAAAAAGAGAGTGAAGAAGAGAGTGAAGAAAGAAAGAGAGTGAAGGAAGAAAAAAGAAAGAAAGAAAGAGTGTGAAGAAAGAAAAAGAAAGATATAAAGAAAGAGTGTGAAGACAGAAAGAAAGAAAAAGAGAGTGAAGAAAGGAAGAATGAAAGAAAGTGAAGAAAGATAAGAAAGAAAGAGAGTGAAAGAAAAAAGAAAGAGATTGAAGAAAGAGTGTGAAAAAAGAAAGAAAGAAAGAGTCTAAAGAAAGAAAGGAAGAAAGAAAGTGAAAAAAGAAGAAATAAATAAAAAAAAAAGCAGACAATCAACGTGAAAAAAAAGAAAAGGAATAAAAAAGAAAAGCAGAATAGAAAGAAAGGGTAAAAATATGAACGTTAGAAAAGAAAGCGTAAAGAGAAGAGAGGAATAGTAGACAAAAGGGAAATGAACATTTCATGCAAATGAGGAAAGAATTGAACCAGAAAGGCAGGAAAATAAAGGCATAATGTGACTGAAGCAGGAAACAGTCGTAATATAATAATTATTTTTTTCCTTAGTTAATTAACACGTAAGTTACACTCTGACATTACCTCAGATAAACAATGGACTATTCCTTATTTCTGAGCAACTTCATGTCCCAGGAATACAAAATTAAATAGGTTTCATTTTTAACAATAAATATGTATGTATTTCCAGCGCCAGCAAGATAGATCAGCCGTGCCATTGATGATCACAATATATTGTTGAAATGGCCACCTCGTTTACCTCACCTAAACCGTTTTTTTTTCTATAGGGCTATTTGAAAAGTCAGGTCTACAAGCCCAGAGGAACTTAATTAAAGAACCACTTAGGAGCTGGGATATGTTGCGCAAGACATGCTACAGCGTGTTTGGCAGAAGCTGGACTACCGACTTCACGTGAGTCGTGTCACAGATGTGGGGCACATTGAACATTTGTGAGATTTTGTGAAATTGGTTGTAAAATGTACACCCCTTTGCATATCGTGTTCAAATTTGTATTGTTCAACATGAATCCTATTTGGATTTCGCTTGCATGAAACAATTGGTTACTCAGATATTCACATTTTAAATGATGCCGAATTTTTGGGGGAGGAGGGGGCAACCTGTATATAAAAGGCGCTGTTTGATTGCTTCGTTTTCTTAGCAACCATGTGCATGTTATTTACAGTCAGGAAATATATTCAGTTAGTAAGATTTTTTTTTAGATAATAACGGTTTAATAATACATGTTTTGTTAATTATCCCATAACTGGGGTAGAAGAGATGGATATAAACTCTTCTAAAAGGTATTTGAGTTTAAATGAATCTACCAAACCCAACTGGAATTCGAACTCGGCTCTGCGATTAACAATGCCGAGCTATTATCCAATACGCCTACTGCACATCTAAGCTTACAGCAGCGGTTATTCCAGAGCGTTCACGCATTTTGGTACTGACCAGGTTCGACGTTGCTTATCTTTGTTGGTCGTTTGGAACAAATGTTTCAACGTGATATGTTTGTAAGGCGGTTTGAAAGAAAGAACGAACGAACGAAAGGAAAACCGAAAGAAAGAACGAACGAACGAACGAAAGGAAAACGGAAAGAAAGAACAGACGAACGTACGAAAGGAAAACAAAAAGAAAGGACGAACGAAAGAAAGAACGAACTAAAAGAAAACCGAAAGAAAGAACGAACGAACGAACGAACGAAAGGAAATCCGAAAGAACGAACGAACGCGAACCAAAGGAAAACTGAACGAACGAAAGGGAAACCGAAAGAAAAAAACCAACGAACGAAAGGAAACCTGAAAGAAAGAAAGAACAAACAAAAGGAAAAAGAAAGAACGAACGAACAAAAGGAAAGCTGAAAGAAAGAACGAAAGGAAAACCGAAAGAAAGAATGAATGAACGAAAGAGAAACCGAAAGAACGAACGAACAAAAGGAAAACGGAAAGAAAGGACGAACGAAAGAAAGAACGAACGAAAAGAAAACCGAAAGAAAGAACGAACGAACGAACGAACGAACGAAAGGAAAACCGAAAGAAAGAACGAACGAACGAATGAACGAAAGGAAAACCGAAAGAAAGAACGCACGAACGAAAGGAAAAACGAAAGAAAGAACGAACGAACGAACGAACGAAAGGAAAACCGAAAGAAAGAATGAACGAACGAAAGAAAGAAAAAATGGAAGATTAAGATTTATCAGAACATTCATATAAAAAAAAACCGTGAAATTATGACGGACATTACTAGTTACTAAATAATTCGGAAATAAAGCGATTAGAAAGAAAGACAAAGGCAAAAAGGGTATCCGTCGATAAAAGAGAATAGAATTATGTATTAATATAAAATTGATGAAATACAGAGAATGAGGAAAAGAGAAATAAAAAGGCAAAAGGCAAAAGGCAGAGAGAAATGAAGAATATCTGAAAAAAGAAAAGGAGAAAACTGAAAAGGGAAACACAAAAGTAAGAAAAACAATTGGAACAGAAATGTACCATTTGTAAAGGTTAGGAAGGAAGGAATGAAAGTGTGAAGGTAAAGGAAAGAGGAAGAGGAGAAAAAAGATAGAAAAAAAGTGAAAAGAAATTAATAATAAATTGCGTGAAAGGGCAGATAAGAGAGAGACATTAGGGGAAATTCAAAGACTAAATTAAAATTAGATGAAAATGAATGAAATATACAAATCAGGAAAGAAAATATAGGCAGAAAGAAAAGAAAGATTGAATACAGGAAGGAGAAAAATATAGGCTGAAAGAAAAGAAAGATTGAATACAGGAAGGAGAAAAATATAGGCTGAAAGAAAAGAATACAAGAAGGAGAAAAATATAGGCTTAAGGAAAAGAAAGATTGAATACAGGAAGGAGAAAAAATAGGCTGAAAGAAAAGAAAGATTGAATACAGGAAGGAGAACAAAATAGGCTGAAGGAAAAGAAAGATTGAATACGGGAAGGAGAAAAATATAGGCTGAAGGAAAAGAAAGATGAAATACAGGAAAGAGAAAAATATAGGCTGAAAGAAAAGAAAGATAGAATACAGGAAGGAGAAAAATATAGGCTGAAGGAAAAGAAAGAATGAATACAGGAAGGGGAAAATTTAGGCTGAAGGAAAAGAAAGATTGAATACAAGAAGGAGAAAAATATAGGCTGAAAGAAAAGAATACAGGAAGGAGAAAAATATAGGCTTAAGGTAAAGAAAGATTGAATACAGGAAGGAGAAAAATATAGGCTGAAAGAAAAGAAAGATGGAATACAGGAAGGAGAAAAATATAGGCTGAAAGAAAAGAAAGATAGAATACAGTAAGGATAAAAATATGGGCTGAAGGAAAAGAAAGATTGAACACAGGAATGAGAAAAATATGCTGAAAGGAAAGAAAGAAGGAATACAGGAAACCAAATCTTCAAAATTTTAAAGGCAACGTTACTCATCATTTTCTATCTTCTCTCCTTATATTTTATTTCTGCTTATTTTCACTCTCAGTAACACCTTGTGTCCAGATGATTTTATTGTCTTATCTGGGCAATTTATATATATATATATATATATATATATATATATATATATATATATATATATATATATATATATATATCGCATCAGATGAGACGTCTGAAAAATAAATATTTACGGCTTTACTTTTGTATTGAGCACAATTTTTAAATTAATGTTGTGAACACTGTCACCCTACTCTTCGTTCTCCTATTATTTAATAAATAAAAAAGAATCCTTATTTTAGATAAATGACATAGATAGAAATATCAAGCTAAGCCAATGGAAAGGCGCTCTGTAATCATTACCTTAAAGGCAGGGCATAGTGTTTTCGAGATTATTCACTTCTGTAAATTTGCATGGACATTCTACAGCAGTAGCCGAAAGATTCCGTTTATAAAATTATCGATAAGAACTGCAAAACAGAAAACGCCATGGATAAGTCTATTGATAAGGAGTTCAAGTTTTCAAGGCACTCTGTTGAAAGAACTGCGCATGAGGACATTCGATACAAGTCATATGAGATACTGAGAGGCCAATTCAGGTGTCCAAAGGCAAAAGATAACCGCCTGATCTCCACATATGCGCTTGTCGAGAAAATTGAAACACACGTGCCTGCTTTTACTAAGATGAGAAAAACTTTGATCAGGACCAAAAGATCTGTGGAAGGACCGACAGATGGTAGGATAGCAGCGTTTAGGACGTTTCAACAGTCACAGACACAAAGTTAACGGCATCTCTGGTGGGTCTGAGGGTTGTGTGCATCGAGAGAGATTTTATGCCTCCTCAGAGCTTGTCAATGTTACTGACTATAATGATGTGTTGGAGAGGGCTGTGCGGTTTGGAATAAAGTGCGTGAGCCAAGGATGATTGAACCAACAAGACTCTACGCTACCCCATGAGGCCAAGACGACTCAAGAATGAATGAATTACAATCTCTACGATCATATCAACCCCAAGCATATGGCCGCCTACCTCTCGAGACATGAATCCGTTAGACGAGTGTATATTGGGCGTAGTCGAGAAGGAAGTCAATCAATGCCCCAATGACACTATAAAATCTCTTAGGTTCACCATAACTAGTCCATAATGTCCAAAATAGATGAAGATTATCTGATTCGGATGTTCCAAACATCATATTGAAGCAGTTATCGATACTAACGGTAGATTCATTCTATGGATGCGCCAAGGAGAATCTCAAGATTATTCGTGCCAATTTCATCATTAATAAAGTTCTTCTTTCATGAATTATGCTTCTTTTACTAAATCTAAGCAAATGTTCTCCAAGAACTGAGCAAAGCTCTATATCTATGAACGTGTATATCTATGAACGTGTATATCTATGAACTTGTATGTCTATGAACGTGTATATCTATGAACTTGTATATCTATGAAATGTATATCTATGAACTTGTATATCTATGAACGTGTATATCTATGAACGTATGAACTTTTTACCAGATTTGTTTCAATAATAAAATCATTCTTTTAATTAATTAATTTTTTAGTATTTTTTTCTTTAGGTTTTGAGATGTTATGCCTCCTCTCTTGTTTCCTCGGGGCTCAGTATTACTGACTATAAGGATGTGTTGGAGAGGGCTTTGCGGCCTTGAATAGAGCCAAGGATGATTGAACCAAAAAGACTCTACGCTTTCTCATGAGGCCAAGACGACTCAAGAATGGATGAATTACAATCTCTACGATCATATCAACCCCAAGCATATGGCCGCCTACCACTCGAGACACGAATCCGTTGGACGACTAAGCATTGTGCCTAGTCGAGAGGGAAGTCAATCAACGCCCCCATAACACTATAAAAACTCTGAGGTATGCCATAACTAGCGCAATGTCCAAGATAAATAAAGATTATCTGATTCGGACGTTGCAGACGTCATATTCAAGAAGTTATCGATGCTAACGGCGGATTCCTTAAGTAGAAGCGCCATGAAGACTCCCAAGATATATTCATACCAATTTATTCTTTAATAAAGTTCTTCTTTCATTAATTATGCGTCTTTTACTAAATCCATTCAAATATCCTCAAAGAACTGTGCAACACTGTATATCTATGAACGTGTGGGAGTCACAACATGTTTATCAGATTTCTTTCAATAATAAAATCATTCTTTTAATTAATTAATATTTTAGTATGTTTTTTTTTTTTAAGGTTTTGTGAATAATCAAATAACAACGATTATATAATGAATTGGTGATGAAAAGTTCGCAGCCCGACAAAGAAAGAATTCTGAAAAAAATATTTGATGATTTGGGCAGATTTGTGGAAGTAACTCGTTCTATATAGAGGCATGGCACATTTATATTTTAATTGTTGAAATTAATTAACTGGGGAACACGTATTTTATTAAATGATTGTAAGCGATCTGGGAGTGCAAACGAAATATTTGTCGCAGATTACTTCCACAACAGAAAGAATAAATCACTGTAAGTTCAGACTCGAATATCGGAGGCAGAAAAAAATGCCGAAAACTCGATTCGCAGGTACTATCTCGCAAATTCCAATGCACGTAACCAGTCAGAAAAATAACTCACTCTTCGACGAAAGCGGTAGTCAAAATACACCAACTTCCCGATTCGAGAACACTAACTGCTTTTATCGGTCGAGCATTTTTTTTTCCATTATTAGACGGCTGGGAGAATTTTTGCATATTAAAATACTTGTATTGCGACTTCTACGTCGGAATTGTTTTTTTTAATTTAAATATTTCATCTTCAGCATGTCATGCGGAATACGTGACCTGTTTTTTTTTTTGTTTTTTTTTTCTTTTTGGCTAAGTAATTTTGTTTTTCGCCACATTTTCCGTCGTAAGATCCACGCGACGCGCTGTCGCTTGGTTTGACGAGGCAAGTCGCCATTTTCTTCGCTATAATGATATACAGTGTAACCCGGATATAAGAGACCCGGATATAAGAGAGATTTTCTTTGGTCCCAAATTAGAGCCTGTGTTAATGTATATATAATAGACCAAACCCGGATATAAGAGAAACCCGGATATAAGAGAGATTTTCTCTGGTCCCAAATTAGAGCCTGTGTTAATGTATATAAAATAGACCAAACCCGGATATAAGAGAAACCCGGATATAAGAGAGATTTTCTCTGGTCCCAAATTAGAGCCTGTGTTAATGTATATAAAATAGACCAAACCCGGATATAAGAGAAACCCGGATATAAGAGAGATTTTCTCTGGTCCCAAATTAGAGCCTGTGTTAATGTATATAAAATAGACCAAACCCGGATATAAGAGAAACCCGGATATAAGAGACTTCTTCTCCGGTCCCGACAACTCTCTTATATCCGGGTTACACTGTATGACGATTGATTCGAGGTAATTTTTGTGCTCTGAATACGAATTTCTACTCGGTTTGGCGCTATCAGGTCCTCATTCTTGTCAACAGCTTATGTGACATTTTCCAGATTGTTTGAATGAGGACTAAAAAAAAAATGATGTCCGGTTATTTTTTTTTCAAGTGTCAGGAATACAAGCCGCTTAAATACAGTAAAATTACATTAGAACGACAGAAATGACTTAAAATAAAAACCAAGCAGATGTAGCTTTCACTGGAGTAAAAATATCCTTTTACAAAAATTTCTAGCGAATTTGCTTCTTGATGTCATATCTCTAGATGCACCACCAGTAATCATGTGGGAATCCCAACGGTCTTAATTCCATTCCTCAATAATTTTGATATCTTGGTGAAATCTCTCCCCTTCTTCGTCACGTTCATCACCTAAAGATGGCTATTCATAAAAATGCATTATTACGTTCTTATTGCAGCCTAACTCTTCGTAGTTTTTTTTACAGATTTCTAACTATTTCTTCGTAGTTATCTGCTCCATAATTGCCTAAATTGTTTTCTATCAAGTCTACGAATGAGAGCCAAGCATTCTTATCGCGTTCATTCATGGCATTAGAAAAATTGCTGTCTTTAATTAATGTTCTTAATTGCGGACCGACGAAAATTTCCGCTTTGGTTTAAATAGGAATTTATTATGAAAAAGATATTTGCAATCTATGAAATTGAAACACGGATGAGTAGGTACAATATAAAGTACGTTTAATTAAATCATCTATTAAATCATTAATTAAATCATTAATGAAAACATCTATTAAATCATTAATGAAATCATTTATTAAATCATTAGTGAAAATATCTATTAAATCATTAATTAAATCATCTATTAAATCACGATAACAAAATTACTCCCTAAATCATAAGCCAATTGAAAATCATATTAATTTCCAAAATTAATTAACTGACTTATTTAATTGTCTGATTAACTCTGCAAAAGAGTCGCTCTTATATACTTTAGTCGTCCCTCTAGAACAGGGGACACCAAACTTTTTTCACAGAGGGCGAGATAACTGAGAGAATGACGAGCGCAGGCCGGATAATTATGCAGCAGACAGTATGGTCGCCATTTTTTGAAAAGAGATGATTAATCATCTATCAAGTCAGAATCGCAGTGACCCTAGTACTGTTCCTCAATAATTTTAATAATTTTCATATCTTGGTGGAATCTCTTCCCTTGTTAGTCACATCCATCAACCAAATTACTTGAAAATTAGTCAGAATGACTATTTAAAAAAATGCTTTAATACGCTTATATTCCAACCTAACTCTTTGTATTTCCTTCTACATTTTAACGATTTCTTCGTAGTTATCTGATTCATCATTGGCTATAAATTGTCTATGAATGACTACCAGGCATTTTTTTCACGTTCATTTTGATTTTAGAACAACTGTTGTCTTTAATTTATGTTCTTATCTGTGGACCGTCAAAAATTCCCGCCTTCTTTTTTTTTTGTCGTAAATTAAACATGTATGTTTTGAAGTTATCTATTTGAAACCCTCACCGTTCGTATCTAAAGCATTTACATATCTACTATTTATATTATTCGAACTATTGTCCTCATCTTTGTCGCCATATTTATTATTACAACGTTTCGGTCGTTGTACGCTCCGGCCTTCATCTGGTGGTTGGAATGTAGAATTGACCCCTTTATTTCGCTCAATGGGGTAGGTAGTGTTCTAATTCCACGTGCCATCGATGTCATTTGTCAGTTATCTCCTGTTAATTCCCCTCTCCAAGTTCTCCACTGCCTTAACCAGGTATTGAACTCACAAATCTTAGACATGGCACGTGGAACTAGAACAGTCTAGAACAGTGAGTTATTTAATGCCGGCAAGATTTTTACGATAGGTTCGTAGGAATAGAATATGGTTTCGTTTATTTTGTTTTACGGCATATCAACCTCAATGGGTTATTTAATGGCGACAAGATTTTTACGATAGGTTCGTATGAATAGAATATGGTTTCCTTTATTTTGTTTTACTGCATATCAACTTCAATGGGTTATTTAATGCCGACAAGATTTTTAGGATAGGTTCGTATGAATAGAATATGGTTGCCTTTACTATGTTTTACTGCATATCAACCTCAATGGATTATTTAATAGCGACAAGATTTTTACGATAGCTTCGTATGAATAGAATATGGTTGCCTTTATTTTGTTTTACGTCATATCAACCTCAATGGGTTATTTAATGCCGACAAGATTTTTACAATAGGTTCTTATGAATAGAATATGGTTTCGTTTATTTTATTTTACGGTATATCAACCTCAATGGGTTATTCAATGCCGACAAGATTTTTATTGCTGGTAATATTTTTATTGCTGGCTATAATTTTGTCAAAATATGTATTGCTGATAATATTGATTTTCTTCAAAAATGTATTGCTGGTAATAATTTTTCCTCAAAATATTATTGCTGGAATTAAAACCTATATTTACACTTTCATTGTGTTTTGACTCCAGTTTGTGGGTTAACTTTTTGTTCATATTACAGACCGTAACAGTGTGCTACCACCTCGGATCTGGGTGGACCTGGGAACACCGGCAATTAAGAGGTGGTTCCACGCTGCTCAATGCCGCCTGATGAGAGGCTTTGGCGCAGTTTATCCTCTTACCCAGGACGCCGGATGTAATTTATCCTCTTACCTAGGATGCGGACGGTTTTGTGGGTTAACTACTTGCCCATAACTGGGCCCCGGGTCAGGGTGGACCTGGGAACATTAGCAATTAAGTGGTGGTTCCATGTTCCTCAAAATCTCCTGATCAGAGACCTTGCTGTTCGATGTAGTTTATCGTCTTACCCAGGACGTGGAGGTAGTTTATCGTCTTACTCTGGATAGTATATGAGTCCTGACAACATCTGATTTTCATGAGAGTTCAAAGAATAAAGGAAACGGGGAAAGTAAAAGAAGGTGAAAGTAAAAAAAGAAAACAAAAACAGGAAAAAGATTAAGATTGTTAAAAATCCTTTTTACCCCAGTCAGGGCAAAAAAAAAGCTACTAGTTTGCAAGGTTTTACTGAGAGCGAGAGAAACAGGTAGGAAAATAAAGGAATAAAATTCATGGAAACAGACGAAATTGCATCTAAATTTTATTTATTGACTGAAAGAGCAATATGTCCCCAAATGGACAATATTTTTTACTACATCCCAAATTCATATCACATCAACAACCAATGACTGTTAATATTAACAGCTGAGGTTATATATATATATATATATATATATATATATATATATATATATAAACCTAGTCAGCTCTTAATATATATATATATATATATATATATATATATATATAGTGGTAGCAAGACAATAAAAATCAAAACTTATCTCAATGGGGAATAGACCTACTTCAGCCGACTAAAACTTCGTAGGTTTTATTCAACCATAGTATATACTCTATATACCGCGATTGAATAAGACTGATGATATTTTATGCTCCTCAAAACCTTCTGATCGGAGGCCTTGCTGTCGGATGTAGTTTATCGTCTTACCCAGGACGCGGATGTAGTTTATCGTCTTACCCAGGATGGGATATCAGTCCTGCCAACATCCAGTTTTCATGAAAGTTTAAAGAATAAAGGAAACGAGGAAAGTAAAAGAAGGGGAAAGTAACAAAAGAAAAAAAAAAGGAAAAATATAGAAAGAAACAAGAGAAATTAAGAATAAAAAAGAAAAATGGAAGACTCTGAATTGGTAAACGTCGAATATTGGTAATAAAAATGTATCTATTAAAAAAAAATAACCGCACTATGTATCCTGCCCCTTCAGGATGTAGATGATCATCGCCCTCCACCACCTTCTCTCCCTTGTAGCTCTTAATAAGTCGTATTAAATAATATTTTAGCGACAATTATATTTTAGACAAGTGTATTTTGCTCTGATTTCCTCTGCTTGACCTTTGAGGTCAGATACATAGACAAAACAAAGGAAGTCGATTTTGATTGGTTGAACGAGTCTAAAACGTCAATCAATATAGACGTGTTTCTTTGCTGACTGCAACGTCTCCCAGTGGAAAGAGAGAGCGACCCCACTGTCTAGTTAGAAAATGTCCACGTCTTCGTGTTGAATAAAATGGTTAAGTTTAAAATTACTTTCTTGAAGTTCTATTTTATCTCCGAACAAAACCGTGAAACAAAGAAGGCGAGGTTATTATGATCGAATCGACCCCATTGCCAAGATCTTCCAGCAAGAAATGCATTAGTTTTATCTTTTTTGTTATTTCTTCCAGACTTTGTTCTGTCATCCACATGCTCAAGCCTATTAAGAATGTCACGCTTTGCTTTCCCCTGTCCTTCTATCACTCTGTTGGTCCTGTGAGTATCAGATTCTCCAAGCTCTCCTTTCTCATTACGTGTCCGAGAAATTTCAACTGCCTCTTCCTGATGTTAAGTATAAGTTTCCTCTTTCTTTTTCTTCTCGACAAAACCTCTTGGTTGATCACATGTTCGGCCTATGGTACCCTTAGCATCCTTCTGTAGAACCACACTTCTGTAGCTTTAAGTCTCTTCTTCACCTTTGAGGAGATTGTTCCGCATTCGCTGCTATACAGGAGGACGGATATCAATTAACAGTTCAGTACACATTTGTTTTCTTTTTATAGCCAACAAAACTTTCCTCTCTTTGAATAATCTGCTTAGATTTTGGAATGCGTCTTTGGCCATCACGATACATCTTTGACTAGAGTGTCGCACACACCGTTCTCTGTGAGAACACTTCCCAGATATTTAAATGCTTTACCTGTTCGATTTTCGTATCTTCAACCTGTAATTTGCATTTTAGGCTCATCTTTTTGCTGATGAACCCAATCCACACATGCAAAAAAGTATATATTTAGCCAAGTCGACAAAAAGTTCCTGCTTATTTAAATCAATCTGACCCTTTCGTCTCCACAGTGACTGCAAAATAAAACACTGTCGCCATAATGACTGTAAAATAAAATAAAAATAATAAACAATGCAAGAAAGAAAAAAAAAAAAGAAATCTTCTGAAATATGCAGGCATCACCTACGCAAACTTTATCGATTTCTGTTCTAGCGTTTCTCTGTTCGTCGAATTCTTCCGAACCAGAACGAATCAAATGTTGAAAAGTCCAGCGTCCCCTACGTGGAAAACTTTTCATACGAATCATGCCTGCGTCTGTGTTATTCACAAAAGATTGACTCCACTCATCTCGAACACAGGCAATTGAATTCCGCGCCTCAGACTTGATTGCGCCTTACGTAAATACTTTGCATGAATTTCCTGGCGGGAAACATAATCATGCGCGTTGCGCTCAAAAGTGCCGATTGATCATTTCAAGCTGACTCTTTTCAATGTTGAACTTTAACAAATGCCAACCAATCCTTCACTGGGCTTAAAATTTATTTGACCCTTGCTATGAGATAAGTTTAAATGTAACTGAATGGCAGAATGGAAAAATCCTATGTAACGAGTTTCGTCGCTCAAAATTTTTCAACTAAATAATGTTTTAATTGATGAGAATATATATATATATATATATATACACACAGACACACACACACACACACATATATATATATATATATATATATATATATATATATATATATATATATATATGAAATCTATATGCAATAAGGTGTGCTATATTTATGGGATAAATTGCTCAATATGAGAGATAGAGCGTGTGTAAATATAAAAATGAGCATTGAAGTCAACACTTGAGGCGACAGGCCGTTTTCTGCTAAACGCAATCGTCAGGCCTGACGATTGTGTCTAGCATGAAACGGCTAGATATATACATATATATATGTGTGTGTGTGTGTGTGTGTGTATGTGTGTGTGCGCGGGCGTGTATGTGCATGTATGTATGTATGTATGTACATTAGGGCGCGTGGCCGAATGGTTAGGACGTTCGCGTTTTGACCATAAGACCAGGGTCCGTGCGGCAACTTTGGAAAGTGGCTGAAAACCATACGACGGGTTAACCCAAGCCTTGTGAGGGAAATTGTGTAAACGGAACACTTGGCGTCGTCGATAGCTGTGCTAGCGTGAAGACACAAGTCATCGTGACCGAGGTTCTGAATGTGTTGGCCTTGTTCAGATTTTTGATCATGCTATATAACATCCTATAAGAAACTGTAACTAAGGTCTGCTCCGTATAGTTGCAGTATAAACCACAGGTTGGCTCTGTGGGTGTTGAACAAACACAAATGTGCCTGGGCGACAGTCTGCAATAGGGATTGGCTAATTGCCTAAATAGACGGGTATCCGCGAATATGAGTCGCCACCTATTAATAATAATAATGATAATAATAAAAATAATAATAATAATAATAATACGTAGGATGCGATAGATAAATTGTCGTCTAAATTACGCAAAAATTAAAATAACACTGACATCTCATTTTAACAGATATTAGATAAGATTACACAAAAATATCTTCAAATACTAAAGTGCAAATTTATTCAATAAAATCGTCATTGGCTTCTCTGAATCTCCTGCATCTCTTCTGGACAGCCTTCTTTTTCAGCTTGGTGAATGCTGCCATAATCCTTGCTTTCAGTTTATCTTTGGTGTTGCAAGGAGTTTTGTTGGTCTCTCACTCAACAGCACCCCACGCATCAAGGTAGTTGCAATCTGAGTTGCGGCCAGATGTAAAGGGTAATCTAGTCGCAGAAATGGTGCAGAGTCCTGTTGCCAGACATAGGGTCTTCCAGCAGCCACCCTCTTGACCTAGATCACCACTACCTCCTCAGGACACTTCAGGTGGTTGAAATGTCGAACTGAACCCTTTATTTCACTCACTGAGGTAGACTGTTCTAGTTCCACGTGCCATGTTTAATGGATGTCAGTTATCAGTTATCTCCTGTTAATTCCCCTCTCCAAGTTCTTTCACTGCCGGGTAATGAACTCACACTCACAGTGGATAAAGGCGTTAGTTAGATCCAGTGACAGAATCCAAAGAGTGTGAGTTCAATACACGGTTAAGGCAGTGGAGAACTTGGAGAGGGAAATTAACAACCAATGACTGATAATATAGCATCCATTAAAAAAACATGGGACGTGGAACTAGAACATTCAAATTTTTGAGCGAAATAAAGGGTTCAGTTCGACATTCCAACCACCTGAAGAAAACCGGCGTACAACGTCCGAAACGTTGTAATAAATATGGCGACAAAGATAAGGACAATAGTCCGAATAATGTAAATAATGATCCTTTTTGTGTTAATATATTCTTTGTTTTAACGTTCTTAAAAATTTCATATATACACTGCGTGCCAAATTATTATCGAGATAACTTTTTTCTAATATTTCAAAAACTGTCCAATCAATTCACACAATGTTGGCAACACCTACATGCGCAATTACTGAAATTTTCGACCTGATCTGCGCAATGTAAACAAACTGGCGCCATATTAATTATCAGTACGGTGATGTGAGCATGCCAAATTATTAGAAAGGTTTAGTAAAAATCCCAGAATTAAGCACACAAAACGTTTATTAATGTTGCACGTGAATGTTTATGATCAAAAGAAGCTAATAAATAAGATAATCAAACAAATAATAACAGATACAAACAAACGCACAGTTTTAAACAAATTAATAGGGAATGTGCTTTCCCTGTTTTGAAATTACTTGAAGAAGTCGACGATCCATAATTTGTTAATTGTAGGATGTCATCTGCTGTAATTCCACGAGATATGTCAAAAATTGCTTTCCACAACTCAGGTTTGCTCCTGAATTGTCTTCGTTTCATGATGTTGCAAAGGTTTTCGATTGGGTTCAAATCCGGAGAATTTGCTGGCCACTTCATTTTTCGAGGTCCATCGAAGCCTGTTTCAAATATTCAGTAGTCTTGTGAGCCGCATGTGAGGGAGCATTATCTTGCATAAAAACAATGGCCCTTCTGAATGCAACTCTTTGCCTTTTCATCCACGGTTCAAGATGCTCATTCATAAACGTTATGTATGCATCAGCAGTCATCGATACAGGTTTGACTGTTGTTGATATTTCCCTCAGATACCGACACCGAGTACTTTTAGACACAGTAGGATCCCCAATGCGACTAAAAAGCTATTGGCTGGTGAGTCCAGGATTCTTCGTGGCCTCTCGTTTAAGTCGTGACATGAGACGACGTGAAATAACCCTTGGTCTGCCTTTATCTACCCTTTTGCGTACTTGTGTAGAATCGGCGATGAACTTTTTCGCTGTTTGATGACACCTCCCTATCATTTTAGAAATTTCTAGGGTAGATTTACCTTTTGAGAGTTCTGAGGTGATAGTTTTCTTTTTAGCATTACTTAAACTGCTTTTATGGCCCATATTTTTACTAAATTCTTACACTTTTTTAATAATTTGTCACGGTCAAATCACCGTGCTGATAACAAATATGGCACCAGTTTGTTTACATTGCGCAGATCAGTACGAAAATTTCAGTGATTGCGCGCAGGTCAGTGTTGCCAACATTGTGTGAAAATTTTGTGTGAATTGATTGGACGGTTTTTGAAATATCATAAAAAAGTTATTTCGATAATAATTTGGCACGCAGTGTATTTGTACTTTTTGTGTATTACTAAAGATACTACAGAACTTAGATAATATTAGTCGTCTTCAGCTACATTGGTTCTTCTATTCAACAGTTTCCTGAGATCAATTACCATCATCACCATTAGCCTAATAAGCAGCATTATTTAGTAACAGGTACATTTGATTATAGAGGTTTGATATTTAAACTAGCCACGTTATTATTTTTCATATCCAAGGATTTTAGCTTAGTCATAACATCGCGGTAATTTTTCATACGTGCTGAACTGACTGTTACGAGGAAGGGAACTAAGATTTTTGTTATGACTTTTGCTAATTTGTAGGTTGCATTATTTTTCATCTATACTGTGGGGAATATTGGGATGCCCCTGGTTTGTGTGTTCTGGGTAGGCCGTAAATCTTGGGTATGGATGTACTCTATCAGGTTCACCCATGATTTCTTTTCTTTGATAACTAAGTTTTGAGGGATCCGGTTGGTTGTTGTGTCTCAATGATAATATTATGTCCTTGAATTCTCTCATAAGTATTTTGATGTCTGGTGAGGAGTTATTGCCCAATATGATGATACTCCCCACTTTGTCAGGTGTCAGGTCTTAGTCTCCTCTCCCCTTTTTCATGGTATATGTATTGTACGAAGCATAAAAAGAAATGGAAGCATCCATAGAAAGTCGATTTTTGTATTTTAACCAAGACAAGTGAGTAATAGAATCTGTTTATTAATACAGGATATTAATACAGGTGTATATACGAGGAGGGACCCAAAAGTAACAGGAATCGTTTTCTGTGTGACAAGCCCGTAGTAGTTCAGGCTTCCACCGCTAGATGCCACTTGAGGGAACCCTCCGTCATCAGCATGCTAACTGGTGGAAGTTGGAAGACGTACAGCTCGGTGTTTCACATTTAGTTTGAAGTGATTCACGTCTTTTCGTCTATTTTTACCATGGCTGAAAGGATGCCTGTCGTAAACTGAAAGAACAGTTGGAAGTTGATCCAGACCTTTTTTTCTGAAGGTCATCACTGGTGAGGAAATTTGGTGCTATGGCTACGACCCGGAAATGAAGCAGCAATCAAGTCAGTGGAAAGATCCAACCTCACCACAAACCCCAAAAAGCGCATCAAGTGAAGCCCAATGTCAAGAAAATGCTGATTTATTCCTTTGATGTGAAAGGAATTCTCCACAAAGAATTTGTCCCTCCTGGTGAACCTGTTAACCAGACTTTTTACTTGGAAGTCCTGAAGCGTTTGTGAGACAAGGTGAGACGAAAACGCCCTGACCTTTGGCAAAGTGGAGGGTGTTGGTTGCATGATGACAATGCGCCAGCGCACACCGCCTTGAGTGTGAGAAAGTTTCTGACCAATAATGACATGACCCCACTTCCCCACCCTCCCTATTCACCCGATCTTGCCCCCTGCGGCTTTTGTTTAGTCACCTCCCCCTACGAATGAAGAAAGTCCTCAAAGGAAAACATTTTGCAGATGCGGCAGAAGTTAAGAAGAAAACTTCACAAGAGTTCCAGGACTGCTTTGAACAGTGGAAAACACGCCTGGATCGGTGCATTGCCTCAAATGGAGAATACTTTAAAGGTGATAAGAATATAAACATGCAACAATAAATGAAT